AGAATGTGGAGGGGAGGAGGAGGTGAAATGGGGGGCGGGGACACGGGGGGGCAGGGGGGACACGGGGGACACGGGGGGCAGGGGGGGGCTGCGGGGGGGCTGCGGGGGGGCAAGAAGAGAAAACAGGATTGTTCATGTTTCTGGTTTCATCCTCATTCTGCTGTTACTCCTTTGATCCACTTGTAATGAATCTGATCAGTTAGAGAAGGACGGAAGGAGATGTCAATCAAACATGTGACACCTTTCTCTCTCCTTCTCTCCTCGCCATGTTTGTTAAGTTTGCATCATCCCGTCTCCTGCTCCTTCTTCTCCATCTTCTTCTCCTTTTCATCCTCCTCCTCCTTCTCCTCCTCTTTCTTCTCCTTTTCCTTTTTCTCCTTCTTCTTTCCTCCTCCTCCTTCTCCTCCTCTTCTTCTGCTCCTCCTTCTTCCCGTGGAGCTCCGCCCCCTCACTCATCTCTCTTGGTTTCTTCTCTCTCACTCTGTCCGTCCTCAAAGTTCTCCAGTCTGTTTCCTGCTGCCTTTAAAAGGTGATGAATGCAGCTTCTCATGATGTGCCTCATTATACACACACACTCACACACACACACACATACACACACATACACACTCACACACATATACACACACACACACGCACACACACACACACTCACACACACACTCACACAAACTGCTTGTTTTTGTACCAAGTTTAGGGGAAAAACCAAAACAGTGCAGGAATGAGAGAGAGATGATTGTTGTCCAAAATAAACACACACACTCACACACACCAACACACACTCACACACAAACAAACACATAACAATTCCATCCAACAACGTGGTGACTTGCTGACTGTAGTTGAGGTTTCACAGCACGTTGTGCAGCGCTCACACAGATGCATCCCATAATAAGCAGTGGGAGGAGCACATCTGCATTACAGTTTTTTCCGGTTGCTGGACGTCAGCGAGCACATCTGGAGTCACGTGTGCAAAACTCTGACTCCATCTGCACAGCAGCAGTTCATGAGGACCGAACTCCAGATCCTTTTCAGTGCTTGAACACAGTTTTCAAAACTCTCCACACTGATCACATGACGTCATGACGCACACACAACCTGCACAACACTGTGGATCCACATCACTTTGTTCAGATGCAACACGCTGCTGTCAGAACTGAACCACACATTCAACACGGAATGAGCCTCTAAAACACTGAGGATTCTATGCAGGTGAAAGTTGTTTTAGACGTGTTAGTGAACACACACACAAATATATACATACATATATATATAAACTATAAATATATAGATATATTACAGTATATATATATATACTGTAATATATACATAAATATATCAACTAAATATATACATATATATCACAGTATATATATGTAATATATATATATAAACTATAAATATATACATATATATATTACAGTATATATACACTATAATATATACATAAATATATAAACAATAAATATATACATATATATATTACAGTATATATATATATATATATATATACTGTAATATATAAATTTACCTTAAAGAATTGTTATGTTCTAAAAACTGTACTAAATCATGTGAAAGAATGTGACTCTTTTCTTTGAAGAAAATCTTACTTTGTGTGACGTCACTGAAATGGTTGAAAGTGTAAAGATGAACAGTGAGTATTTTGTGTGTTGGTGTTTGTACTCTCAGTGTGTTGTGAGTGACAGTGTGTGTTGTGAGTGACAGTGTGTGTTGTGACAGTGTGTGTTCTGAGTGACAGTGTGTGTCGTGAGCGACAGTGTGTGTTCTGTGTGACAGTGTGTGTTCTGAGTGACAGTGTGTGTTCTGAGTGACAGTGTGTGTTCTGAGTGACAGTGTGTGTTCTGAGTGACAGTGTGTGTTCTGAGTGACAGTGTGTGTTCTGAGTGACAGTGTGTGTTCTGAGTGACAGTGTGTGTTCTGAGTGACAGTGTGTGTTCTGAGTGACAGTGTGTGTCGTGAGCGACAGTGTGTGTTCTGAGTGACAGTGTGTGTTGTGAGTGACAGTGTGTGTTCTGAGTGACAGTGTGTGTTGTGAGTGACAGTGTGTGTTCTGAGTGACAGTGTGTGTTGTGAGTGACAGTGTGTAATGTGAGTGACAGTGTGTGTTGTGAGCGACAGTGTGTGTTGTGAGTGACAGTGTGTAATGTGAGTAACAGTGTGTGTTGTGAGTGACAGTGTGTGTTGTGAGCGACAGTGTGTGTTGTGAGCGACAGTGTGTGTTGTGAGTGACAGTGTGTGTTGTGAGCGACAGTGTGTGTTGTGAGTGACAGTGTGTGTTGTGAGTGACAGTGTGTGTTCTGAGTGACAGTGTGTGTTGTGAGTGACAGTGTGTGTTCTGAGTGACAGTGTGTGTTGTGAGTGACAGTGTGTGTTGTGACAGTGTGTGTTCTGAGTGACAGTGTGTGTTCTGAGTGACAGTGTGTGTTGTGAGTGACAGTGTGTGTTGTGAGTGACAGTGTGTGTTCTCACAGTGTTTGCTGCACTGAGCCTGTTTGTGTTAAGGGTTGTGTTGCTTGCAGTGAGTTGTGCAGGGGATGTGAGCGTTGAGCTCAGGTGACTGTTGCTGTGACTCTTGTGCTCGCTGACGTTTAGGGAACAACTGTAATGTTCCGTGTTCCATCGTGTGTCTGCAGGATTATCTGGGCTGCATCATCGACTGTGGCTCTCTGCCTCTGAAGCCGGAGGAGGTCAGCACTCTGTTCTGCAACATCGAGGACATCTACGAGTTCAACAGGTAGCGCACACACACACACACACACACACACGCACGCACGCACACCAACAGCAAGTGTGTGTTTCTTTTCATCGCTGGCCTTGAGTTGCTGGAAGAAAGTTTTAACGAAGTCAGACGGACGTTCAGAGACGCCGCGGGTTCGATCCCCACCGGGACCCATGAGAGACGTGTGTGGACTGTGTGTCACATCACATCACATCACATCACATTACATTACATCACATCACATCACATCACATCACATTACATTACATCACGTCACATCACATCACATCACATCACATCACATCACATCACGTCACATCACGTCACGTCACGTCACGTCACATCACGTCACGTCACATCACATCACATCACATTACATTACATCACATCACATCACATCACATCACATTACATTACATCACATCACATCACATCACATCACGTCACGTCACGTCACGTCACATCACATCACATCACATCACATCACATCACATCACATCACGTCACATCACGTCACGTCACATCACATCACATCACATCACATCACATCACATGTCATTTATCTGACGCTTTTATCCAAAGCGACGTACAATAAGTGCATTTCAACCATAAGGACACAAACTCAGGAGAACAAGAAACAAGAAAGTGTGATTTCATCAAATAAGCCGATTTACAATTTGCTGTAGATGAGTGACGTTACAAGTGTGTGAGTTGTGTGTTGGTGTGAGTTGTGTGTTGAGTTGTGTGTTGGGTGTGAGTTGTGTGTTGAGTTGTGTGTTGGGTGTGAGTTGTGTGTTGAGTTGTGTGTTGGGTGTGAGTTGTGTGTTGGGTGTGAGTTGTGTGTGGTTGAGTTGTGTGAGTTGTGGTTGGGTGTGAGTTGTGTGTTGGGTGTGAGTTGTGTGTTGAGTTGTGTGTTGGGTGTGAGTTGTGTGTTGAGTTGTGTGTTGGGTGTGAGTTGTGTGTTGAGTTGTGTGTTAGGTGTGAGTTGTGTGTTGAGTTGTGTGTTAGGTGTGAGTTGTGTGTTGAGTTGTGTGTTAGGTCTGAGTTGTGTGTTGAGTTGTGTGTCAGGTCTGAGTTGTGTGGTGTGTTGAGTTGTGTGTTAGGTCTGAGTTGTGTGTTGAGTTGTTACGACTGCTCATGCTGGGCTGAGACCTTCACAGACGTCACTTGGCTGTGTGTGTGTGTGTGTGTGTGTGTGTATGTGTGTATGTGTGTGTGTTTCTGTGTGTGTGTGTGTGTGTGTGTGTATGTGTGTGTGTTTCTGTGTGTGTGTGTGTGTGTGTGTATGTGTGTGTGTTTCTGTGTATGTGTGTGTGTGTGTGTGTGTGTGTGTGTGTGTGTGTGTGTGTGTGTGTGTTTCTGTGTGTGTGTGTGTATTTGGGGTGAGGGGCTTTGCTTTCAGAGCCTTGGAAGTAATCTGTTGAAATGTGTCACACACACACACAGACACACTCTGAAACACCAACAGTCAGACACAGTTTTCATTCCTTCAAGCTTCCTGCCTCCGGTTCTCATGGGAAATATTGAGAGAGAGAGAGAGACTCACTCTCTCTCTCTCTCTCTCTCTCTCTCTCTCTCTCTCTCTCTCTCTCTCTCTCTCTCTGGGTTGTCTAGAGTTTCTGATCTTGTTTTTGTCTTTGTCCCAGAAAGAGAAAAAATAAGAAAACCCCTTCCTACGTCCTGAGTCACACACACACACACTCACACACATACACTCACACCCCCCCCCCCCCCCACACACACACACACACACCAGATGCACATAACAGGCCCAGAGAGACTGCATCATCAGCATAACTCCAACATGACGTGTGTGTTACAGTGTGTGTGTGTTACGGTGTGACCCCCCCACACACACACACACACAGACTGGTGCTGCTACCCTTGTGAGGACATTGGGTGGCATTCCTCAGCCTGTTCATGTGAAGCTGGTTGTGACCTTTGACCCTGAGGCTGCTCTCTGACGGGGGGGGGGGGCTCTGTCTTCACTTCCTCTCTGTGCCTCTGTCTTCCAATGGGGGGCTGAGTTATGGCTCTGTAGCCATCCGGCACCTCAGACCCCCCCGAGGACCACGTCACGCCTCAGAGGCACTTATTCATGAAGCAGAAGAAGAAGAGGGCTCCTGGGGGGGTTGAGATGAAGAGGGGTAGTGCTGCTGTAATACGGCTGTAACTGGTTACAATGAGTATACAACAGCACAATCCTGTGTGCGTATACATCGCTACAGGTCATAGGTCACCATCACTAGGTAATCAGACCCTTAGAGCCTCCTCCCATGGCCCATGATGCAGTTCTGTCCATCCGATGACTCACACGTTGTGCGTCTGACGTCCCATACGTGGTCCGGAGCCTTGGAGCAAAGTGAAGCATATCTGGGAGGCCTCAGTGGGGATGAAGACCAGACCCCTCGGCCCCCGCTGCGTTTGGTTTGAACCCCGGCCTTCAGAGGGAGGACTCGGCCCGGGGGTCACGGGGGCGCGAGGGGTCAGGGCTAGGTTTGTGTATCCAGCAGCTAACCCCCCCTCCCCCCGCATGTGAGGGGAGTGAAGGCTCCAAGCACTAAATCTAAATATCACTAAAAGAGGTCAATGTGAGCAAAAGTTCAAATTAAGAGAAGGGGAGGAGCTCTTTGATTGACATGAGCTGGAGCCAATCAGAATGAAGAGCGAGTTAGTTGGAGTTACAGTTTTTTAAAATCACTTTGATACTATTTTCAGAACCTTGATGTCATTTTTCAAAACTCTAGACACAAAACTCACATCAGTCTTCACTTGTAACAGCGGCTCCCCGATGTTCAAAACCACGTCTTCAAAGAAGACCTTTCGCTTGCGGGAAAAAGGTTTGATTACCACACACCCACATTTTCATCAACCTGGTCGTGTGGATCTGACCACAAGTTCTGATCCACATCGCCGGCATGGCGAATCCAGGCCGGACACTGGAGACGGGTTACGTGTTGGTGAGGACACCTGTCGTACACCTTCACCTCCACGAGGAGAAGGGTTCTTCTGTCGGGTTGAGGAAAGGAGACTATGGGGGCAAATACGGGCTGAAAACGTGCACCATTAGAGCTTGGTGGAAGCTGACATTGTCCCACACGGTGACATCATCACGCCATCAGCTCTACAGAGAGCTGCATCATAAGAGCCAACGGGAGCCCTGCGCCCGACCACACATCCTGGCGTTGGCAGGGCTGGACGAGTTCAGCGTGGGGTGGAAAGTGGTACATGGGACGGTTCTACAGTGTCCGGTAGAGAACGATGATCAAATATCACATCCACAGATGTTGTCGTCCAATCAGTTCATGTTGCACACTGATTGGTGTGAATGGATCTAAACGTGTTCCACACTGATTGGTGTGAATGGATCTAAACGTGTTGCACACTGATTGGTGTGAATGGATCTAAACGTGTTCCACACTGATTGGTGTGAATGGATCTAAACGTGTTCCACACTGATTGGTGAGAATGGATCTAAACGTGTTGTTGGTCAGTCTCCATAAAACGCTCCGCTGAGGCTCACACAGCAAATACTTATTACTCTGACAAGTGGCAGTGACTGTTATCTTTGTATCTATCTTATCTTATTGTCTCCCTGTCTGTCTCTCTGTCTCCCTGTCTGTCTCTCTGTTGTCCCCCCCCCCCATCTGTGGTCTCTCCATTGAAACCCAAAAGAAAAATTCCCTCTCGGTTTCTCACAAAACCCTCTAATGATGTCCGCCGACCACAGAATGAGGCTCAGAGGAGAGTGTGTCCATGTGTGTGTGTGTGTGTGTGTGTGTGTGTGTGTGTGTGTGTCCATGTGTATGTGTGTGTATAAATATGTGTGTGTGTGTGTGTGTGTGTGTGTCCATGTGTATGTGTGTGTATAAATATGTGTGGGTGTGTGTGTGTCCATGTGTGTGTGTGATAATAAGAGACTTGATTTCAGCTTGTTAACTAAGAATGCAGTGAGAGCTGTATCCTCAAGAGAGAGTGTGTGTGTGTGTGTGTGTGTGTGTCTGCTGGTTGACTGACCTGATCAGATCGATCAGCGTGTGGCGTTCAGGTGTCTTGGCGCGTCCTTGTATTTTCCGGCACTAACAAAGTAAACACCTCCTTCTGCGTCTCCTCAGCGACCTCCTGGAGGACTGGAGAGGAGTCCTCACGCTGCAGCCATCGCCGAGTGCTTCGTGGAGAGGGTGAGTACAGTAGAGTGTGTGTGTGTGTGTGTGTGTGTGTGTGTGTGTGTGTGTGTGTGTGTGTGTGTTGGAACCCCAAACACCCAGTAAAGCACCAGCAGAACTGGACCCTTATTCAGGGAGTCACACGTTTCTCAACAAACCAGCTCCTGCTGCTGATGAAACACCCAATGAATGTGTGTGTGTGTGTGTGTGTGTGTGTGTGTGTGTGTGTGTGTGTGTGTTTATGGGTGTGTGTCCTACTACACACCAGGCCAATGACCCAGAGGGCCCGGGGCCCCTTAAACTACACAATGTGAACTCAAGAGAGACCGGCCAACCAGGAAGAGGCTCACAAAGGCCACAGACACACAGACAGCATGGAGTCAAAACATTGTATTCATACAAAAAGACACAATAAAGACACAAAAAGACAACAGAGACACAAAAAGTCAACAGAGACACAAACGCACAACGAAAAGACAAAATGACTACTGATTCTCCCAAAGAGCATAAGACTAGTCTTGATGAGTTGTTGGGACCTTTGTCTGGTCTTTGTCGGGTTCCTGATCCAGTTCCTTTGCTCGAGCATGACGGCGATCATGGACTGAGCTCCTCTCTGAGTAACCATGAATTCACTTCCTGTGACTTCCTGTCTGCTGCAGAGAGTCTGAGAGAGGAGCAGAGCGGTTTCTAGCTCGGTGTGTGTGTCCGTGACCTCCTGACTCGCCTTATGAACCCATAAAGCAGATCAGGAGAGAAGAAGTGGAGGAAGTAAACCCATGAAGACCATCGGAGACCTGAGGAGGTTTTCAGAGTTGAGAGGAGACCAAATGTGTTCACAAACACGTCCTTGTTACATATTCAATCGCAGCGTCCGGTGACTTTGATGAATTTGTTGAAAATGAAATGTGTGTCTTCATGAGATGAGGAGAGGAGACTCAACGTTGTGTCCTCTCGTCCTATTTTTCAGAGCGAGGCCTTTGACATCTACACCCTCTACTGCATGAACTACCCCAGGTACGTGGAGACATGTGACCTGTTCATTACAAGTGTCACGTTGATCCGATTAATCATGTGACCCGAGATGCCGCTGACAGGTGGCGCAGGTAACACCAGGCTGGGGGGGCGGAGCTCTTGTTGTCTTGTTGTTGAAGAACGGACAATGCGTCGGAGACTTTGAGACAGATGTTGAGGAGCTGCGTGGCGGCGGGACCCTCCAGGGGGAGACCTCTCTGTCATCGGTAACCATGGGGATGCTTTCTCCTCATAACAGGCGTCTTCTCAGGAGACCTACGGTACCCACAGTTAGTTCGGGTAACGGACAAAAACTTTGAGAACTTGAGAATCTCAATTGTCCGATTCCAGCTTCTTAACGTGAACATTTTCTGGAGTTCTCTCATGGTTTTTTGAGACTAAACTGAACTTCATTGAGTAGCTTTTTTGCCTGAATCTAACAAGCAGTTCCCGACGTGAACGACGTGACACTGATTCTTATTTCCACTTGTCTCCTTTTGCACCTTGGTTCGGTTTAAATAACGCATCCATTGATCTGCATTCAAATGTGAGACTCATCGCAACATGAGAAGGTTTCAACGGTTCAGATGCGCAACGATCGCTGAGACTTTTACCAGATCAATAATGTGAAATCTGTGGAGACGAGAGTTCAGTGAGTGAAGAAGGCTTCCTCATGCTGTGGAAACACGTTCTTCTCCTGATGGACGCAGACCAACCAATAAGATGGAGAATAAGTTTGGTCTACAGGTTGACCAACTTTGGGTTCTGATGTTCTGGTTATAGGGTTCTAGTTCTGAGGTTCAGATTCTGGTTCTTGGGTTCTGGTTCTGAGGTTTTGGGTCAGAGGTTCTGAGGTTGTGGTTCATGTTGTGGTTCTGGTTCTGAGGTTCTGGTTCTGGTTCTGGGTCCGAGGTTCAGATTTGGGTTTGTGGGTTCTGGTTCTGAGGTTTTGGGTCAGAGGTTCTGAGGTTCTGGTTCATGTTTTGGTTCTGGTTCTGGTGCAGAGGTTCTGATTAGGAGGTTGTGGTTCATGTTTTGGTTCTGGTTCCGAGGTTCTGGTTCTGGGTCCGAGGTTCAGATTCGGGTTTGTGGGTTCTGGTTCTGAGGTTTTGGGTCAGAAGTTCTGAGGTTCTTGTTCAGAGGTTGTGGTTCATGTTTTGAGGTTGTGGTTCATGTTTTGGTTCTGGTTCTGAGGTTCTTGTTCAGAGGTTGTGGTTCGTGTTTTGAGGTTGTGGTTCATGTTTTGGTTGTGGTTCTGAGGTTCTGGTTCTGGTTCCGAGGTTCTGGTTCCGAGGTTGTGGTTCTGGTTCATGTTTTGGTTCTGGTTCTGAGGTTCTGGTTGTGGTTCCGAGGTTGTGGTTCATCTTTTGAGGTTCTGGTTCTGGTGCACAGGTTCTGGTTCAGGGGTTGTGGTTCATGTTTTGAGGTTGTGATGTTCGCTGCACTACGAGGCTCAGTTTACGGTGAAAGGCCTGAAGAAGAAGTCGTGCTGACGTGGAGATGATGATCTCCTCCTGGAGCTCCAGATGAACCTCGGGGTTCATCCTCTGGGGAGCAGGTATGCGTTGTGTCCCTGAATGTCTTTTAGAGTCCACATTTTGTCCAGATTGGATATCAAGAGTGTGTGTTTGTGTGTGTGTGAGAGTGTGTGTGTGTGTGTGTGTGTGTGTGTGTGTGTGTGTATGGGGGGAGGGGCATAGTGTTTGTGAATACATTGTATCGATACACAATTCAAATACAATGTATTGTTTCATAATTTGAATTTGAATTGTGTGTCTCATGCAAATCCTCTCATGGTCAGTCAGCTTCATGTGCTTGTTTCTGTAGAAGATATTACTGCTGCCTCCTCCCTCCTTTCTCCTCCCTCCTCCCTCCTCTCTCCTCTCTCCTCCCTCCTCTCTCCTCTCTCCTCTCTCCTCCCTTCTCTCCTCTCTCCTCCCTCCTCTCTCCTCTCTCCTCTCTCCTCCCTTCTCCCTCCTCTCTCCTCTCTCTCTCTCCTCCCTCTTCCTTTCCTCCTCCTCTTCTCCCTCCTTCCTCCTCCGTCCCCCGTCGTTACCTTCACCTCTGACATTCTTTGGCTCCACGTTGTGAGGAATGTTGGTCATGAGGAGGCTCCTTCGTCCTCCATCATCTCCTCCGACATCCCCCTTTCCCTCTCGTGTCTCCTCAATTCATCCGGACAGCTTGTCGGCTTCCTCCTCGTTCCCTTGTCACCTTGTCTCCTCTGTCATCTCATTGAAACTCCATCACAAGACTCTTTACTTACTTTCTTTGTCTTTGTCCTCTCTGATTCCTCTCTTTCTCTGTTCTTTCCTTCGCTCCTCCTCATTGATCTCTTCTTCTTCTGCTTCCCTCAACTGCTGTGGGACTGCCGTGAGTCCCACAGCAGTCCCTTCTCACGGTCTCCTCCATCTGTCTCCGTTTCTCCCTTCCTTCCCTCCTTTGCTCCTTTCTAACGAATGCTTTCGAGGAGTTCCCTCTCACCTCCCGCTGTGAGGATTTGTCACCAGAGGAGATCTCTGTGGTCTTAACTGGATCTCCAGCGGACATTTTACGTTCTGGTTCTGTTCATTGACCTCTAGTTGAATCCTCAATCACATTCCTGATGTTTGAGTGGAAAGAAGCTCCATGTGCATCAGAAGCAGGCTGCTATTAACCGTTAGATGCCCTCTCTCTCTCTCTGAGTGACGGAGCGTGGAGCTGAGAGCGTTTTCCGTGTAGATATTTTAATGTGGAGAACGTAGAGAGTTTGTGTGGACTTGTTGGCGCGTTGTTGCAGCCGATCGGCTCGCGCTGGTCGGCGCGCTGAACGCCGCCATGGACCTGACCCGACTGAGCACGGCGTTAAAGTCCCGCCGGGTTTCCCCGGAGGACTGCAGCCTGGCCGTGGGGGAGATGGTCGGTCACGGCAGCGTGTGAACAAGGCGGTGGTGATGTTCATGGACAGCGTGGACAAAGCCAACATGGTGGTGGAGAAGGGGACCGCGGTGAACGAGACGTTCGTGCCCGTCCTGCCTCTCGCCACGCCAGCGACCCGAGTCACAGCCTCTAACGTCCTCCCGTTCATCAGGGACGAGATGTTGACTAGAGAGCTGTCCAGACACGGGATGGTCGTGTCTCCCATTAATAAGGTGTCCTTGGGTCTCAAATCCCCTCTCCTGAGACACGTGGTCTCTCACAAGAGGACGCTCTACATGATCCTCAACAAAAAAAACGAGGATCTGAACGTGGTGTTCAAGTTAAGAGTGGATGGGTTTGACTATGTGATGTTTGTCAACTCTGACAGCACGAAATGTTACCGGTGTGGCAGAGAGGGACATCTGAGCAGGACATGTCCAGAGAAGACCTCTACTGGTCACAGCCAAGGTGGGCAGGAAAGACAAGAGGGGACAGTTGGGGTCCAACAGGGAGGTGAAACGGGGACAGGTCAAGCCCAGAACGCAGGGTCCAGCTGGTGGAGAGAGGGACTGACGGGGTAAATGAAGACACGGGTGGGGTCCGGCAGGTGGGGCAGGCGAGTGACGGAGTGAATCAAGGGGTGAGTGGGGCCCAGCAGGTGGGTCAAGGGGGTGAAGGGAGGCAAGAGGTGCCGGGAACGGGTTTGGGGACCTACATTGAAGGGACCCTGTCCACGGACAGCGACGTGGACATGGAGGGAGAAGAAGGCGCTGAAAGTCCTCCGCCTGAAGAGAAAGACGGAGAGCGGAGGGGGCTCTCAGGCCACGAAGGGGTCAGGGAACAGAGAGACAGAGGGAGGAGGGGCGGCAGGAGAGTCTTCTGCAGACAGCGCCTCCTCTGGCGGGACGGCCACCAATTGGTACAGCGTGGGGAGGGTGAAACTCTTCCTGAAGACCACCAAGAACATGAAGGGGATACAGCTGGAGGACTACTTTCCGGATATGGAGAAGGTCGGTCGTACTGCTCGGGAGGGCGCGAGCAAACGAGGCAGTTCCCGATACACGCAGCAGGAGGTCTTCCGGCTGCGAAAGTTCGTCCAGAAGATCAACAATGGCAACGAGAGGGCTGCTGGGGACTGAGTGGAGTACCGGCGGAGGGGAGGAGCCTCGGTAGTCCATCCTCCCTCCTCTCCAGATGGACTACCGGTGGACTACCGGTTCGCCGGCGGCGTGGGCGGCCTCGGCGTGCGTGGATGCTGCAGAGGAGCCTGGTGTGGACTGACTGAAAGGAGATGTCGTGTTGTTGATTGGACCTTAATGTCATCAGGCAACATTTTTGTTTGTGTTTGTTTTTTATAAGACAGTAAAGTTTTTTTTAAATCAAATCTCTCTCTCCACAGCTCGGTCGGGGTCCTGAGGGACTGCATGAAGAACAAAAGTCTGGTTCCTTTCTTCCAGGAGAGACAGACGACTCTGAACCACTCGTTACCTCTGGAGACGTACCTGCTGAAACCAGTGCAGAGGATCCTTAAGTACCACCTCCTACTCCAGGTAGAACTTCAAATACTACCTGCTACTCCAGACCAGGACGTCCTGACTCCGGACAGAACCGTATAATTATAAATGATCTCACTAACACCAGCTGTCACTCAAAAGTCTTGACTACCGAGAACACTTAGACGTTTCGCTGCACTCGTGTCCGTCCGGCTTCTCAGGAACTTTCCAAGCACTTTGACAAGAGCGACTCCGGGTACGAGGTCATCGAGGACGCCATCATCACCATGACGGCGGTGGCCTGGTACATCAACGACATGAAGAGGAAGCAGGAGCACGCAGTGCGGCTGCAGGTTAGACGCGTCCTTTCTTTTATAATCCAGACAACATATTTGACTTGATGAAACTGTGAAGAAAAACTGACTGGAGGAGGTCGAAGCCGCCAACAGCGCGGCTGACAAAGCCGGACATTTTCTAGGAGTCGTGATACTTGAATCTTGCCGGTCTGAACCAGACCCAAAGCCCGCTGTGTCTCAGTTAGGCGTGTGGAGCGTGGCTAACTGAGACACAGCAGGTGTGGATTGACTCATGAAGATTCATTCGTCTATTTCAAGTAGTAGTAGTAGTAGTAGTAGTAGTAGTAGTAGTAGTAGTAATTGCAGAATCAGCAGCTTTTCTAAAGGAAAAATCCTGAGAAGAGTGAAACATTTTACAATTTTATTGTATTTATTTTATAGGAGATCGAGTCCCTGCTGGTGAACTGGAGCGGGCCGGCCCTCCGTGGCTTCGGGGAGCTGGTTCTGGAAGGTTCTTTCCGGGTCCAGCGTGTGAAGAAGGAGCGAGCCTTCTTCCTGTTCGACACCATGCTGCTCATCGCCAAGAAGAGGCTGGACATGTTCGTCTACAGCACGCACATATTCGTAGGTCCTCCCACGTGGTTCTGAAGACAGCTTGTGTAACGGGCTTCACGAGTTGTGTAACGTGTCTCCATCATGTCTCCGTCATGTCTGCAGTGCTGTAATCTGCTGCTGGTGGAGACTCTGAAGGATTCTCTGTGCTTTAAAGTCTCCGACCAAACGATCCCTAAGCTTCAGCACGTGGTCCAGGTGAGAGACAGAGGCGTGGTCCACTCCGACCCGGAGGACTCTGGTCCATAAGAGGGGTCGGAACTCAAACTCTGGTCCATCAATTCAATTCATTTTATTTTGTAACGCCCAAAATCGCAAATTTTAAATCTGCCTCAGAGGGCTTTTTGGTCTGTACACATCAAACCATCACATCAGCGCAGGAAAGACTCCTGAAGACCCGTCCACGGGGAAAAAGGAGAATAAACCTCAGTGAGAGTCAGAGGATCCGTCTCCTGATGGACAGACTACAATGACGTCATGAGGACAGAATGAACAATGTAGAAGATGAACAACACATTCAATTCATATGACAGAGATGATTCAAATATGTAGAGTAGTGAAGCAGGTGTACTGCAGGACCACCACCATCAGATAGAACCACCATCAGATAGAACCACCATCACATAGAACCACCATCACATAGAACCTCCATCCGATAGAACCACCATCAGAAAGAACCACCATCAGATAGAAGCACCATCACATAGAAGCACCATCAGATAGAAGCACCATCATCTATGTGACCACCATCCACAGAAGCCTGTAGGGAGGGAAAGCACAAAGACTAGACCAGATGGTCGGTTCTAAGACTCTGGTCCATCAGATGGTCGGAACTGAGACTCTGGTCCATCAGATGGTCGGAACTGAGACTCTGGTCCATCAGATGGTCGGAACTGAGACTCTGGTCCATCAGATGGTCGGTACTGAGACTCTGGTCCATCAGATGGTCGGTTCTAAGACTCTGGTCCATCAGATGGTCGGAACTGAGACTCTGGTCCATCAGATGGTCGGTTCTAAGACTCTGGTCCATCAGATGGTCGGTACTGATCCATCGAGCCGGACCATCTCATAATATGATAACTTTAAACTACTTCATGTTCTTCACTGCAGACAAAGAACCAAGAGGAGAAGAGACTTTGGGTCCATTACCTCAAGAGGCTGATCGTAGAGAACCACCCTGCTTCTCTACCACAGAAGGTGAGGAGGCAAGTTAAGGAAAGGAGAGGAGAAGGGAGCTAAGACGGGAGGAAGGAAAGTAATGAGGGAAGGGAGAAAAGACAAAAAGAAGGCAGGAAGGAAAGGATAGAGGGAGAAAGCAAGGAGGTAGGGAGGTAGAAAAGGAAGGAGAAGATGAGAAGTAAGGAAGTTTATGAGGAGGGAAGGAGGGAGTAGGAAACATGCATTAGTATTTCCATTAACTGACTGCTGAGTACTATTGTTTATTGTAGTAGTGACTTGTATTAGCAGTAGTACTTGGTGGTGTAGTACTGATAGCAGTAGTATTTAGAGCTCTGCTGCCTCCTGCTGGTAGAAAGAAACACACTAACCTCTAAGTTCAATACAACAGTTTAGACTTTGAAAAACTATTGCTTTGTATATTATAGTATTTCTGAAACTGTGTGTTTGAATGCAAATTTGATTATTTTTATTTTTTTACGTTACATTACAGGTCATTTAGCTGACGCTTTTATCCAAAGCGACTTACTTTACACTTTAAAACTCGTGGCTTTTTAAAAACATTTGGGCCGGGGAGCCATTAGGGGTTAAGTGTCTTGCTTCGACTTGAGACATTAGGCAGCCGGGACTCGAACCACCAACCTTTCAGTCCCAGCGCACCCGCTCTACCCCTGCACCACGACAACCCCTCATTTATTCATGAAATATGTGTTAATATTCGTACATTTCCAGTCCATAAATCCAATTACTGGATAACAATTCAATCTTCTCATCTCATGCTGTTGACGTGTTAGTGTCAACAACTTTTACTGAGATCATTTTGATATTTGTTTAACTCCATAAATCCCCAAAAACGATATTACAGGGAAAAACATCTTTATTGAATTAAAGAGTAGATATCAACATGAAACTTCAGTACATGTAATCAGTACAATAAGAGAATTCTGGTTTCATAACTTGTGTTTCTAGTTGGATATGCAAATGAGTCCTTATGGAATGGGACCAAAACCAACAAAGTGATAAAAAAGTTACATTTTTCTTTAGTCTGATAATCTGGACTCCTCCCTAGTTACACAATATTGACATAAATTAACATATACCGATAGCAGCAGCTCATTTTTCCCAGCATGCATCACTGAGCTCATGTTGTCATCCTCCCCAGGCGAGGCAGGTCCTGGGAGACGACTTCTGTCCATGTGAGTTCACACACTGACGGCGATGCTCACGATGGTGGTGACGATGCTGCTCAGGCGTCCGTGATTGAGGTGACATCACTTCCTGTTTTTCAGCTCCTTGTTTCGAGCGGGAGGACCCAAAGAAGAAGAAGAAGAAGTCGGCGGCGCCGCTGCCGCGACCAGACGATGTCCACAGCTTCCAGCGAGGCCGGCGTCAGTCAGGTGGGGGTCAGTGGCCCCCTCCTTCCCGCTGAGGGAAATTATACACGTCCTCTATTTATATAAACTGCTCACAATCATATTTAAGACGTCCTATTTCTGAAACATCCAAACTACTACTAGTGATCTGTACTTGTGAACTAATGGGCATAGTGGGGGGGCGGGGGGGGGGGTCCAGAGGTCCAGTTAGAGAAAATGTCTAGAAGCAAAGTTCGGGGAGATCATAATGACTACTGGTGTCATTAGAGTTGTTTCAACATTTGCATGTGACTGCAAATATAAATAACGATCTCATTTAACTAAATAAAAGTAGGGCTGCTTTTAAAAAAAAAGTGAAGATTTCCGCATGTTCTAATGAAGTGCTTCAATTTAGAAAAACAAAATAACTGGAAGAAAAGCTTGAATTTCCCCTTTTCTGCTTCACATTTGGACTCGACAGTCTCAATAAATTTTATATAATAAAATTAAAAAAATTATACAAAAATAAATCTATTTTAACAATTGAACAGTTTAATAGAATATATATATATATATATATATATATATATATATATATATATATATATCCACTCTTTTTTGGTAAGTGGGAGAATTAAGATGTATTTTCCCTGCAGGATGTTAAACCTGGTCTTAGTGCATCAGGGCCGATCTCCTCTCACGTGGAGGAGCTCATTGTGCCTCACGATGACGTTTTAACGGGTTCTGAGCTCATGACACACTGGTTCAGTGCTGCAGTGGGAAGTATGAATAGAAACCAGTCCGTCCATTGAGGATTAAATGCTCGACTTTCACTGTCCACTTGTTTCTCATGTGTCTCACCCGTCTCTTTCCGTCTCACTCGTCTTTTTCTCAAATGTCGCTGTCTTTTCATTTCTAATTTGCCGCTGCGTCTCTCGTCTGTCTGCAGTATTAAGACGATATCATCATCCTGCTGGAATGCAAAGACCCGATTGGTCGAGTAGCATCACGACTCGAGTGCTATTGGTCGGTGCTTTAAGCCACGGCCGTAAAGACGAGTAAAGCTGCGCCGTCACGTTAAAACCACAACCGTCTTTTTTAGCTTTTGGTCCGGATGGGACGGCGTCTGGGTCCGGATCCTGGCGGCCCACTAGTTAGTGACCTCTGCCATAGGGGGACACTTGGTCTAAGACCAGAACCAGGGACTCGCGTGGATCTGCAGCAGGTGTTCCTGTGAACCTTCTGAGGTCCCTCTGGTTCTGTTGTCATTGCAGAGCCTCCAGAGCTGATGCTCTACACACCGGAGAAGTCCAGGAAGAGTCTGCCGCTGCTGCTGGAAGGAAACCTGCCCTGCAGACGCACCAGGAGACAATCAGGTAGACACACGTGACCTCTGACCCCACAGCACCGACACTAGATCTAGCCCACGTGCCCTCTGACCCCACAGCACCGACACTAGATCTGCCCCACGTGCCCTCTGACCCCACAGTCCCGACACTAGAGCTGGCCCACGTGCCCTCTGACCCCACAGCCCCGACACTAGATCTGCCCCAGGTGACCTCTGACCCCACAGCCCCGACACTAGAGCTGGCCCACGTGCCCTCTGACCCCACAGCACCGACACTAGAGCTGGCCCACGTGCCCTCTGACCCCACAGCCCCGACACTAGAGCTGGCCCACGTGCCCTCTGACCCCACAGCCCCGACACTAGATCTGCCCCAGGTGACCTCTGACCCCACAGCCCCGACACTAGAGCTGGCCCACGTGCCCTCTGACCCCACAGCACCGACACTAGAGCTGCCCCACTTTGACCTCTGACCCCACAGCACCGACACTAGAGCTGCCCCACGTGCCCTCTGACCCCACAGCCCCGACACTAGAGCTGCCCCACGTGACCTCTGACCCCACAGCACCGACACTAGATCTAGCCCACGTGACCTCTGACCCCACAGCACCGACACTAGAGCTGCCCCACGTGACCTCTGACCCCACAGCACCGACACTAGAGCTGGCCCACGTGCCCTCTGACCCCACAGCCCCGACAGTAGAGCTGCCCCACGTGACCTCTGACCCCACAGCACCGACACTAGAGCTGCCCCACGTGACCTGTGACCTATTTGGACAACGAGAACATTCGTCAGGGCAACAGGACCCGGCGATGTCCATCAATAAGTCTGCGTGTTTGTCTTCCAGCTCCCGCCAAGGACATCGAAGCGGCATTTAGTCCACAAGGTGAGAACCACCACTCTGTTTTCAAATGGGGAAAACAAATCATGGAGAATCTTCATGGCTACTGATCTTCTTCTTTTGTCACATTTTAATACTTTGCAGTATCAAAACCAGCTGACCTTTAAAAATAGAGATTACAGATTTTGTTCTGCTGTTGTGAGGATTCTGAACTGTATCAACATCTGGATAACATCTCGGTCTTTATGTTCTCACTCCTAACCTCATTACTCTTCTTCTCTTCATCTCCATCTTCTACTCCTTATTCTTCTTCTTCTTCTCCTCGTCTTCCGATAACCGGGGAATCCTGCAGCTCTGAAGGTAAGATGATTTTTCCCTTTTACAAGCAAATAAACAGGTGTAAAAAAAACAGAAGATCAAGGTTTTTACGCCCAGTTCCTGCTGAGCTCCGTTTGAACACGTACGTCTGTCTGTCAGTTATCATATACAGACAGACCGTATATGATTGTGTGTGGTTCCTGCAGCAGGCCGGGAGCGAGGGCGAGCTGAGCCAGGCAGGCAGCGGCAGCACGATGGCGTCCTTCGTCACCCAGGGGGAGGCCAACAGGGCCGGACCGGTACCACAGCTGAGGCCGAGCCGAGAGGAGGAGGTACGGAACTGTGACCACGCTGATGGACAGGCCTTTAGCAGAGACGTGTACAGATTATCTACGTCCTCCTCAGTCCATAGATTATGGTTATTATGGTTATCGAGTTCTATGATTTTTCTTTTTTTTTTTAAGTACAGAAAACATCCTATTGAATCCAAACCTTTTCTTCTCCATTTTGCTTCCCCTGAGAAGGAGGAGGACGAAGAGGAGCTGATCCCCCTCAGTCCACCTCCCACACTGTCAATCACAGAGGAAATCCTGGAGTTCATCAACCGGAGCAGAGCCAGAGAGGGACTCACCGCCATCACCACCCACGCCACGGTGAGCAGAATCGATCACTGTCATCTACCGTAATCTGATGCACCAAATGTAGTTTGTCAGAAAACGTTCCACACCAAAGTATAAAAGTTTGTTACAAAATGAGCAAATCTCTCCAGCAGTGGGACTGAAGTTCACATGTGGGTTCGTTTCATTTGTGTTTTTTCATCTGGGGAGCGTGAATGGGTCCAGAGGATCGAATGACAATGACTCTTGTTAGATGGTTATGTTTGCTGCATCTAGGTGCCTGATGTATTCCCTTCTATGAAGGTCATTGGGACACCCAGAATCACTAGGAATCATACGCCGAGGACCATAACGTGTCCAGTCATTTTACTACCCACAAATCTTTTTAAATTGTGTTTTCTTTTTCTGACGTGGCCATACCTTTATTGACTTGGCTGATTACTCCCAACGTGACATTTAAATATTTTTCATTGCAATCTTGTCGTACGGAAGGTCTGTTTAATTTTAGTTTAATGCTTTTAATGTAGCAGGGTAATTTTCATTGTTTGACTTTTCTCAATCAGCCCAAAGAGAGTCATCTTTCATCTATCCAGACCAACTTCACCTCCCCACTGCCGCCGCCTCCCTGCCCCTCCAGTCCAGAACAAAGACCCACAATGCATCAGGAGCAGGAAAAAGCAGACACTGAGAAAGACAATGCCTTCCGATGTCAAACCGGCGGTCTAGCAGGGAAGGGGGGTCTACAAAATGAGAGGACTGTGAGTGAAGTCCAGGAGATGGAGATGTGGAGAAGGGAGATGGAGGAGGAGGAGGGAGATGGAGGAGGAGGAGGGGCAGAAGTAGTAGTGCTAGGGAAAGAGGAAGAAAAGGAGAAAACAAGGGACGAAGGAGGAGAGACCCATGTCCATGTGTCGGATCTTCATCCCTCCATCTCAGCAGAGAACGAAGGAAAGAGTTCACTCAGGAAGGATGTGATCATTGAAACCCCCCCTTCGTTCCAATGTTCAGATACAGATCCTCCTCATCACCCATCCCATAAAGAACAGCCACGCACAAGAGGCTCCAAACTCACCAAACGGGACCAGAAGATCATCGAGAAGATCAGGAGTTACTACGAAGCGGCAGCTGAGGCCGGAGAGAACCAAGAAAAGGAAGAAGGGGAAGAAGAACAAGGAGAAGGAGGGTCACCAAGAAGGAGAAACAGTTTCTCGCACATCCCCTCTGGCTTGGTGAAGGAGTCGGTATCGCGCTTTGATGTGAGCGGGCACCAAGGTGAGCTGGAGGGCAAACGTGGAGAGGGTGAGACAAAAGAGGTTATTGATAAAGACGCTGATCCGAAGATCTCTTCCTTTACTCCGCTCACAGCGGAAGTAGAGAACGAGGTACAGGCTGAGGAACCAATCAGCACCTCAGATTTGGATTCAGAGGGTACCGCTGCTGAGATTCAGAACGAGGAGCCTCCAAACCAAGAGAATCTACGGTTGAGTCCAAACTGTCCTGTGGAAGAAGACTCTGTATTTCCGATCCAAGATGGAAAAGTCTGCAAAGGACCATTGGAAGAAGCGACGGAGGAAGCGGCGGAGGAAGCGGTGGAAGAAGCAACAGAGAAAGCGACGGAAGAACCCCAGAAAGTGGATGTTTCTACAGTAGAGCTAAAAGAAGAACCAACAATTACCAAACAGCACGAATGGAAGGAGGAACCAATCAAAACCAGTCCTGGAAACACAGTTGATATGAATGGCCATGAACCTAACCCAGCAGGGACAGCAGAATCAAAGGAAATCCCAGATGAGCCGCCTCCTCCTCTGTCAGCTACAGAACCATGCCAAAAAAACGGGGACAAAACTCAGCCCACTTGGACAACAACCAAACGAAGAGACCTAGAAGGAACCAACCTTGAAGGTCTTATTGGTCAGATAAAAGTGGGTCGATGGTCCCGCCACTCCAGGATTGTCACCGCCAACCGGGTCTTGTTTGAGGGCTTGGGGTCAGACGTAGCCGGCATTGGGTTGTTCGAGGCAGGCCCCGTGGTGGACCCCATGCTGATGGAGAACTCAGAGCGAATTCTGAGCAAGGTCCAAACAATTGCCCGCATGTACGGCACCAAAGTCAGCACCATGAAGGTTCCCCTGCATCAGAAACGGGCCAGCAATGTATGGAACCAATCGTCATGCTCAGGTAGATTCTCTGGGTACTCAACTCAAAGTCAGTCGACTCAATCTCAGACCCCGACTAAATGTGGAACACAGACCAAATTCCAGAGCCAGACAGGAACCCACATCCATAATCAAAGCCAGATATGGAGTCCAACACATTATGAAAACCAGAACCAGACCAGGACTGGGCCAAGTTGGGAGGACCGGGCAATCCAGGAGGATAGGAGCATCAAGAGCTGGACAAACGGTAGGTCTAAAGGGACCATGACTTGTTTTATTTTAGATCCGGTAAAGAAGGCCAATTTGAAAGCAAAGGCTTGAACAAAGACAATAAGTCCTTGAATATTAGATATGAGCTAACATCCGGAGATAACCTCCAACTCTGAAAAGTGAAATTAAAGCTTCATGTGTTAAAGTTGCATTCTGTCTACTGACCCCCAGGGGGAGACTCCTGTGCTCATATAAAAGTCTATGAAAAAATGTTTTGCTTCCTCAGATTTTTTTATTAATAATTGTGAATAATAATAATAGGTTCAAGCTATGTCGCCTGAGGATAAACGAAGCTTGAGAGCCAAGCTGCTATGTGGCTATCAGCTCCTTTCTTTCCTGTCATTCACCCTCCATTGCTTTGTGGTTCTCTCATAGACCTCCATGAGGAATCAGCGCCTCCACAGGAGCCTGTGCTGTTGGTCAAAGACCCAGTGTGTCCTCGCCAGACCAACGCAGTGACGCTCTCCAGACCCAGAGACTTTATCTCCGCCTTGGCCAAAGATAGAGAATGTCCATCAACTGACAACGTCCAGACCTCCAGCATGCTTTCTGCTTCCAGGGATGGCGTCATACCGCCTGAGAATCAGGGACCCAGAATATGCTGCTCCGCCAGCAACTGCTCATTGATGTCAACCACCAACCCTGCATGTAGAGTCCCAGAGATCACGGACCTCTGCTCCACGCCGTCTTCCGAGAAAGAAGAAGCCCACAGTTACAGCGGGGAGATTAGTGCAGATAACATAGAGAAGTAAGTGGTTCATCTTTATTGATACAGTGCATCCGGAAAGTATTCACAGCGCTTCACTTTTTTCACATCTTGTTATGTTACAGCCTTATTCCAAAATGGATTAAATTCATTATTTTCCTCAACATTCTACACACAACAACCCATAACAACAAAGTGAAAACTGTTTTTTGCAAATTTTTGAAAATCTGTTAAAAATAAAGAAACGAAAACATAACATTTGCAATATTTTATCCCCAAATGCAAAAGTTTTTGGCACTTCTGATGCACCTGGCAACATTCAAGAGTTTTTGAATATGATAAAGGCCTCAAAGGTGTGTCTAAAGTGGAGAAATAAGAAGAATTCTTCAAAACACAATAGGGCTTCGTCCGACTTTCAGTCGGCTCAGGCTCTAATAATAAAGGCAAAATTGTTGGGACAACTTAAATAATGTTTCGCTTTTGTCCATGTTACTTAAAGACTGAGAGTTTGCTCTCTGGTTATTGGCCATCTTTAAACTGTGTGTTTTGTCTGCAGGTATGGGGACGTCCTCGCTTCTCCAGAATGCAACCCTCCTACTGGACGTACTGAGCCCAAAGTTGTGTCGGCCCCGGACAGAGAGCTTGTACCAGGTCTGCCAGCAGATCAGATCCAGAGGGCACCAGAGCCAAACAGCAGGATGCTACTTCACAGCTCGTCGGTGGTCTTCGGAGAAGCCGGAGGTCCAAGTCAGCGACTGACCTTTGACCCCTCGTGGGTTACCGCTTACACAGAAGCCGCAGAGGGTCAGCGGCTTTCTGGTCAGAACTTCAATCCGGTGGAGCGTCTGCCAACATTCACCAGCCGGAGGCCGGACGACCTCCCAAGGTATGGGTGTACTACGTGTAGCAGGATAAAACACACACAACAGACACCCTGCCTCAATCAATACTCTTATCATTGGAGGAGAAAACGTTATTTACACTCTGATGGTTAATGGTAATGATCATTAACTTTTTACAGTTTTAGTAGTTTACTAGTTATGAGTTAAGAGTTTTTTGTCACTCTGGAAAGAGTTGGTGGGAGTATTCAAATGTGAGGATAGAGAATGTTTCCCGGCATCTTCCCACCCCGGTTTGTCTCCCGTGACCCACCAAACCTTCTCCCACCCATATAGACTCATGAACAGTTCACACCCTTTCCTCCTCAGATTTCAGCAGAATTACCAGTTTACAGATCAGTTTGACATTCATTTTTCTTCTTTTTGGGACTGAAAGCAAATACTAAAGGAGAGTTTTAGAACAATTATTCTCATGGAAGCCGATTACCATTATTATTTTTATCCATCCACTGAGTTGAAACCAAAGTCAAGTATATCAATTAAAGACAGATAGATAGATAGATCCAGTTATAAAATAAAAAACATCAAATTAATAACCTGAATGTCACTTGCAGGGGCCTCCAGGACTCACCGTCCCCCCAAGAGGACAAGCTCCCCTCTGCCTGCAGCCTCAGACACCGCTCACCCTCCCCTGTCAGAGCACTTCCCTGTTCCTCGCCATTCAGCGTCGTTCCGGCGTCTTCTCCCGCTTCTCCATCTGCCCCGACAACTCCTCCCTCTCCTAGGGCGGAGTCCTCCTCTCCCTTCTGGAGGTCTTCGTCCATGCGAGCAGGTCCTCCTTCCCCTCTGCGTTCCTCCCCCGTGGCCTCTTCCTCCACTTTTACCCGATCCCTCGCCGCCTCATGTATCAGCCAGTCCATCAGCCAGAGCATGGCAAAGAACTGTGCCCCACCCACTAACCGAAGCCCCGCCTCCACGTCTCACCCTCGCCGGCGATCCCCCTCTCCAAAACCTCTTCCTGGTCAGCAGGTCTCTGGCTCCCCCGCCTACGCCCAGCTGGGGTGCTCCAAAGACGGGCACCACTTCCCTCGAGGTCGCCTGTCCTCCCCCTGGTCCTCCTGTCCTCCCTCGTCTCTTTGTCCTTCCCCTCGTTCCTCTTTCCTTCACTCCAAGACTGACTCCAACGCAAACAGCAACAACAACAATAGCAGCACCGTCGCTACGACGATCCCGCCGGGCATCGACCCCGTCTGGTCCGTGTCACACAACCGCGTGGCTCGGCCTTTCTCCGCCTCCGAGCCCAGCTCGCGGGTTCAATCCCCGTCGCCTCCATCTCCCATCCCGACGTCTTTCAACCACTTCTGCTCGCCGCCTCCCCAACTGAGCTGCGCCTCCCTCGTGGCGAGCAAGCCCCCCCATCCGCGAGGGAGTGTGCGGGCCGGCGGCTTGAGCCCTCGCAACCCACTGGGCCTCACGCTGGAGTTACCCCGGTCGACGCCCGGTCTTGGCCCCCGGGTCCTGTCGCCTCCTCCAATCGGCGTGCCGCCGAACATGTGGACCAGTGACGTTGCGGCACCTCAACCCAGGAACGCCTCCTTTCCCTCTTCTTCTTTGGTCCCGCCACGTAGCCCCAAGGCCTTCCCCATGGACCCTCCTCAACCCCTCCGGCGGAGTCACTCATCCAACATGGCTGACCGACTGCCGCAGCGCTCCGGAATCGGCGGCGTCCTTGAGTCCTGGCCCACCGGCAGCGGGTGGTCCTCTTGTGGCAGCTCCCCTTCCCACCTAATTCCCCAGGCCAGGGTTCAAACCCCGCTCTCCCCCGGCGGCCTCGGCGGGCAGAACTTCACCGTGCCTTGCCCGGATGTAAGAGAGCTCTCCATCAAATACAGGGGGGGCGATGGCCTCCGTGCCGCCTCCTACTCCCCCCTCACCTCCCTTCCCCCTATCTCCCCTCTTCTCCCTAGGTGGGGGGACCCCGAGATGCGGGAGGGGGACTGTCGCAGCCAGCTGATCTGTGCCTACGTCGGCCACACCTCCTCCTCACCCCTGCTCTCTCCGCCTCCCCTCCGGCTTCTCTTGACCAGCACCACCTCTACCGATCAAATGACACCTACCTCCCCCCCCCACCCCTTCGCCCTTGCGCGCATCGCCCCCCCCCCTTCACTCTTTCCCCGCAAACCAAACAGGAGAGCCAGAAGACCAGCTACGCCACCACGGTCAACCTCCAGATTGCCAGGAGTGGCCGGATAACCTCCTTCAGCACTGCCCAAGTCAGCCTGACCCAAACTCTGCAGGGCGGAGCTGCAGCCAGGGGGGCGGGACCTGGACCGGCACCGGGCCCGGGCCAGTCCACCAGGAGAGTAAGCATCAATGGACTCTCACACATCCCTCCAACTCTTTCTCAGAAATGAAACAGGATGTGAAAGAAATGGAGGAGCTTTTAGAAAGAAGAAGCGGGAAAAGCTGAGTAACTGCTGGTCTCAAGGAAACCGGCCCTTTAAGAGGTCAATGGACCGGCCCTTTAAGAGGTGGACCAGAGTTCATCTGGAGCAAGTTCCAGAGGTAGAGGACTTCTACAAAAAGTATATAGCAGCGGTTTCCAAACTGTTTAGGCCATGCACCCCCTTCTACATCTCGACCTTGTTCATGCACCCCCAAACCACCCCAAATAAAAAAAGGAAAGAAAAGAAACAGAGCCTATTTATAGCTGCAATAAAATTGGACCAATGAAAGAACAGTTTGCTCATGCGTGGTATTGTTATCTAATATTTAGATGGTCGTTGGTTTGTTTATTTAGGGATACATAAAAAGCAGAGACTTTATTGCCCCGTGTATCGCGGACACATTTGTCCCACATTTTCCTCAAAAACATTGTTCCCCCCGAGTCCGCCAATGACGGGTTGGAGAAGTGGTCTTATGGATTTCTTCCGACAAAAGCTCTTCAATCTGATTACATCACAGGTCATTTAGCAGACGCTTTTATCCAAAGCAACTTGCATTACATTTTTAACCCTTGGCTTTTTACATTTTTGCCCGGGGAGCAATTAGGGGTCAGGTGTCTTGCTCAGGGACACTTCGACATTGGAGCAGCCGGGACTTTAACCACCAACCTTGTGGTTCCCAGCGCACCCTCTCTACCCCTACGCCACGACAACCCTGATTAATTCTCTCGCAAACATTCTTTGTTTTATTAATGGCGGTATCGGGCTATGAAACCAGAAATGTGAGACTCTGTAAAGGACGTAGTTAGCAGACCAATCACAGCCTTGCGGGCTGCGTGAGGCTTGCGTAGCTTTTGACGCAAGTCTAGAAAAATGGGTCGACGCACGCAAGAAAAGGGGCTCTAGCGTGCGCTTGTCCCTGCGTTTCTCTGAAAACCCAGAACCATAAACTAGGCTTAAGAGACTATTAACTGTCCGTTTCTTTCGCCTCCGATTCCTCCCTCTTTCCGTCCATCTCATTCTCTCATAACTGATTGTTTCAGATGTTCCCCTGATAGTTTCCCGACTTCAGCCAGTTTAGCATATTTGTATGAATGTTGCTGAATGAATGAAGCTGTTAGCTGATATCAGCTGCACAAACAAGGCTAACGTTAGCTAGTGTATGTAAAAAGGAGCTCAAGTGCATTTATTTGTTAAACTGTAGATTTTTTTCATCATTCATGTTGTTATTTTGTGTAAAAAAACGACTTCTTTAAAATATATATATATATTCAGTATTAATTATTAATTATTAGAGACCACCATCACTTTATTTTTTTTTTTCTCGCGCACCCCTAGGGGTGCCCACACCACACTTTGGGAATCCTTGGTATGTGGATGTATATATTGTTACGTCCTGTTGCTAGTGGTAAGCAGGACATAAACAGAAAACCAGATGTAGCTGGTATTTTAAAGGATATTTATTTTGAGAAATCAGGCAACGTAACAACCAAGCTTACAAATGAGGAAAAAGGGGATAATGGGTGTAGTGGAAAGCAAAAACAGAATATATCGAAAAAAAGGAAGACTAGTGCCACTATAAGAAAAGAAAAGGTTAAACCTCGCTAACTTAAATACTTTGTAAACAAAACGTACACACAGCGCCCCTAAACCTAATGTGTCTAGACAACAAAATCTGTGAAATGCAAAAAGTGGCATCAGTATCCAACTCAACCCTTTGCCCGCTTCCTCGCGCTCTCAAACAATCTGGTCTGCAGTCGCCCTCAGCTGAAACCAGTCAGGCCATTTGAGCTGGTGGGAACTGCAACGGCCATCGGCCGGGACGTCTGGGCGGGTCTTCTCTCGTCCATCCAATCCTCGGCATGGGATGTCACAGCATGCTTCGCATCCCCTTAATTAACCCACATGAGGTTGCCGACGGCAGCCTAACAATATATATATATATATATATATATATATATATATATATACATACATACAAATTTACTTATATACATACACACACTTGTATATACACATATAGAAGTATGAAGTGTTCGAGATGCGGGACTTTTTGATCTCCCTCTTTTATTCTTGAGGTTTGAGTTTTTCTCTAAAAAGCTGTTCAAAAATGTTCATTCAGCAATCTCCAAAAAATAAAGGCACGTGGTGCAAAAATCCAACAGAAGTCAGATTTTTATTTCACATTTACTCCAAGATAAAAGATTATTGCTTTATTCTGAAAAACAAAAATGTGTATTTCACGGACCGATGAAATAAACATAAATAAAGCTGAAATATGTTGCTCTGCTGTTGCCAAGTTGATGTGTTTCACATCCCAACAACAGCTGTATTGTTTTATTATTATAAAATTAAACCTGAGTTTATGGTCGCAGCCTCTAGTCGGTAAATATTATTCTGAGAGGAGACGTTTGTTAGAAACATATTGATATATTTCCTCACAGCCTTCACAGTCGACTGGGGCCGAACCAGACAGTCTCTGACAGGAGGCGGTTTGGCCTAGTGGGGACTTCCTGCTCCCGTTGCCTAGCAACAGGATGCGCTTCACTGTAAAGGCCTTTACACCTGAATAAAATGATAAAATACAGATAGAGATGGTTATCTCCTTATTTCATTTAATTTTAGGAAGATATGCGCTACATCAGGGGTGCCCACACTTTTCTGGCTCGCAAGCTACTTTTCAACTAACCAGGTTATGGCGATCGGTGACGCGCGCCTACAGCGCATAACGAGTCGGTATGAAGAAAACAAGGAGCCTCTCATCTGTCAGAAGGAGGAAACCGCCACAAGCATCCCGCACATTCTTGGTTATTACCTCACTGGAGTCGGCCTTGGTCACTTTGGAATGAAATTAAATGCGTCCGTTAGTAAGCAAGAATTGCTATTTAGCAGTAGCATTAGTTTCGGTCATCTCCCGTGGTAGACCGCGCATGCGTGACGTGACGTCATTTTTTTATCGACTGGTACTGCCCTTGAGATCGACTGATCGATCGCGATGGATGTATTGAGATTGACGGGTCGATCGCGATCAATGTATTGAGATCGACTCGTCGATCACGATCGATGTATTGAGATCGACTCGTCGATCACGATCGATGTATTGAGATCGACGGGTCGATCGCGATCCATGTGTTGAGATCGACTGGTCGATCGCGATCCATGTATTGAGATCGACTCGTCGATCACGATCGATGTATTGAGATCGACTCGTCGATCACGATCGATGTATTGAGATCGACTCGTGACGGATAGAAAGATGTATTGAGATCGACTCGTCGATCACGATCCACCGTATGAGGGATCGACTCGTCGATCACGATCGATGTATTGAGATCGACTCGTCGATCACGATCGATGTATTGAGATCGACTGGTCGATCACGATCGATGTATTGAGATCGACGGGTCGATCGCAATCAATGTATTGAGATCGACAGGTCTCAATCTTAAGGCAGAGGAAATCAATCAATGCAGTCAACAGCAAACACACACACAAGTGTATACTGAAACATGGTTGTGAGACTAAAGCAGGACACCTGGTCGGCTTTGAGCTGAAATTGTAATTCGCTTGGACTGATAATTCTGAAGATTTTCTAGATTTCAAAAACATTACGAGAGAAATGTTTGAAATTTGTCTGATTTTGTCTGATTTTCTGATTTGAATGTGCTTTCATCAGTTTTGAAAGCAGTGGAAAGCAGTAGATTGTGTTAGCATATGAAAAATATCCTGCAGATGTACAGTTTTTGCAGTTTGTGGAGTATGAATGACGAAAGTGTTTGTGGATTTTGTCTGAAAGCAATGAAAAATTATTTAAAGTTAGGTCTGTATACACTCGCTGAATGTGTGAAGAGTTTTGAAAATGTGGTTTAAGTATTGAACAATGCTTGTTAGCAATTGAAAAAACATATGAAATAAATAATCAATAACATCTGAATGCGAACACAACATTTAAATAACAGAAAAACCAACATAATTGAAATGTGTACATTTTTGAGAATGATAAATGACAAAAAGAATGATACAAACGCAACTAAGCAAAAAAACAAACAAACAAGGAAGGAATTGAAGTGGAAAGGAAGAAGTTGCTGTGACACCTTGGTCCTACATCCACAGTGGTGCCTTTTTTTACTTAAAACTGCTGCTTGCGGCCTCGGCTTCTGCAAATGCGGCCACTATGACGTCTTCCATACCTAAGGACCTCCGAACATCTCTTTCTATTGAAATCAGTGGCAGTCCTCTCCTGGCACATGGTTCACCTCAAGTAGGGTTTGATCAACTCGGAAGCAGAAAAGCTCCTCTAGACATCTTCCAGTTTTAAGAATCCGTCATTCAGGCTTCTAAGGGTCTGCTTAGAGTCTGTGTCTACTAAAGGGAGAAGGAACTCCCTTCTGAAGGACTCTCGTGGACTGGACTGGGTTTCTGCTGCTCCCTCGTGCTGTTGCCTTTTCTCTCGGAGCTCCATTTCAATTTCCAGTTCTGCTGCAAGTTCTACAGCATCAGCTTGACATGAAGCAAGCCCACTGTCCCTGTTTTCCAGCTACTGCCTCGCTCACCGTGTGTCTGTGGTTTCCAGAGAAACATCTTGACTTTGCAGCAGCTTGCTCACGAGGGGAACCTGGAACAAGCTCAGAGAGATGTGTCCACTATGAGGGGCCCCGTTAGGGAGATTCCCCACGTGTCATCGCGGTGTCCCGGAGAGCTTAAGTCTGGGCTACAAAGCCACATATACCATTTGAACTTGTAAAGCAAACGGCAAAATATGTCCACCCTGTCGTGGACAAATTCAAAGCAGAGTAAATACATTGTAAATACATAGTGATTCTAAAATGTACATTTTCAGAAAGCTATTGGGTCCCTTTGTCAATATATTTTAGTTAATGGGAAAAGTATTTGGAAAATAATGAAATTATGGCAAACTATTTGTTTCTCTATAAAATCTGCGTTGCACTTTCTTTTCTAAATAAAATCTAACAGCAAAGATATCTGGTCAAACTTTCAAACTAAACGGTTTGGTCCGCATTTGTTTATAAAGGAATCACACAAAAGGTTTTGCCAACTTGTGAAAATAATTACTTTATTTTCATAAAACATGAAAATGGAGTGGACAATAACATGACAGGGTGGACACGTTGTGAAATGTCTTTGAATGACCTCATAAATGCAATAAATCTAAAGGAATTTATGTCACAGGTCCTTTTCCCATGTAGGGGGAAATTACCAGTTGAACAGACTGGTCTTGATCTGAATAAAGATTCCCAAAATGAGCCATTAATGTGGATAATGCAGTGGTAAACTTTGTACATCAACAGAACTGAGACCAAACAGCCAGCATTCCACCCTGATTACAGCGATATCCGTAAAACACGCAGCACCCGAATCACAATATCTCTTTCTCTGCCCTTTCTTAACAAAATCTATTATTCCCGGGATTTTTCAAAGACGTTGTGTGTCTCATAACCATTCGTTTCGTTTCGGGATCCGATTTCTCGGCCCGTGGGGGGGGAACCTTCCGCACGTCGTCTCCTCTCACTGGCTGAGGAAGCCGGTGCTCCTCCCATCTGTGTTTGCCGCCATTCCATTGGCTGTGACGAGTGCAACCAGGGAATGGACGGAACATTGTCACGATCCACTGAGATGTGGAAAAGATCTCATGTGAGGCCTCCACCAAAACCTCCCTAGATTTGTTCAGTTTCACTCAAACTGTTCACACGGGGAAGTTGGGCAGGCGGAACGGGGGCGCCCAGTCACGGCCAAAGTGACCAATGCGGTTGACGAATGAGTCTTAACGAGGATGCAGCCGACAACATTAGACACAGCTATTGGGCCTTTAATCAGTGCAGGAAGTTTGGATTCCTGTTTCACTGTGTAGTTTCATGATAAAAGCTTCCGTGAACGAACCCTGTGATCAAATCACATTGTAGACGTCTTGTGGGACATTTCTAGGGCTTTGACTTGCATCGCTGCTTGTGGGAACAAAACATTACCACGGCAACAGGGACAAGAGCCCCACGCACCGTCAAAACCAGCACACGCATGCAAAAAATGGGGGCAGCACGGCCATGAAGACCGGATCCCATGTGTTGCTAGTGGTGCTGATGGCGTTCCACTCCCCTGAGGACCCTCTGCCACGCCCACCTGCAGGCACGCCAGCCACACACACACACACACCTTCAGCAGGGGTTAAAGGGCAGGAACAATAAACAATGAGATATAGTCTCCCAGTTGACCTCCTGTGACCTCATCGCCGTCACCTTGATGATGTCACTGGAGACATAGTTTTGGTTTTGGTTTGACTAGACTTTAAACTGACTCTTCTTCTACAAGAAGCGCTGTACCTGTTCAGGTAAGAAGGGTTCTACTCGGGTTAGAATGGTTCTACTCGGGTTAAAAGGGTTCTACCCAGGTTAGAAGGGTTCTACTCGGGTTAGAAGGGTTCTACCCAGGTTAGAAGGGTTCTACTCAGATAATTCTAAAGATTTTTGAAATCTTTCTGATTTGAATGTGCTTTCATCAGTTTTGAAAGCAGTGGAAAGCAGTAGATTGTGTTAGCATATGAAAAATATCCTGCAGATGTACAGTTTTTGCAGTTTGTGGAGTATGAATGACGAAAGTGTTTGTGGATTTTGTCTGAAAGCAATGAAAAATTATTTAAAGTTAGGTCTGTATACACTCGCTGAATGTGTGAAGAGTTTTGAAAATGTGGTTTGAGTATTGAACAATGCTTGTTAGCAATTGAAAAAACATATGAAATAAATAATCAATAACATCTGAATGCGAACACAACATTTAAATAACAGAAAAACCAACATAATTGAAATGTGTACATTTTTCAGAATGATAAATGACAAAAAGAATGATAAAAATGCAACTAAGCAAAAAAACAAACAAACAAGGAATTGAAGTGGAAAGGAAGAAGTTGCTGTGACACCTTGGTCCTACATCCACAGTGGTGCCTTTTTTTACGTAAAACTGCTGCTTGCGGCCTCGGCTTCTGCAAATACGGCCACTATGACGTCTTCCATACCTAAGGACCTCCGAACATCTCTTTCTATTGAAATCAGTGGCAGTCCTCTCCTGGCACACATGTGTCCACGCTTAATAAACAAAGATAAAAGTAGACGGAAAAAAGTGAAACATTACTACAAAATTAGTGGGGCGGAGGGAGGCGGAGGGAGGCGGAGGGGGGCGGAGGGAGGCGGAGTGGGGTGCGGGGGAGGGGTTCTGGCTGCTTGTGACACACACCACTGCATCTCAGAGGTCTCTGTCTGTGCATGTTTATAACAGACCATAAATTGTCTTTACAGAGGAATGTCTCGCTTTATGCAAATATGTACAGCAGGAAGCCTAAAGAAGACTAAATAGAGTGGAGGAGGAGGAGGAAGAGGAGGAGGAGGAGGAGGAGGAAGAGGAGGAGGACTAATGGGAGGAGTGAGAAAGTGAAAACTAGAAGGCATGAGAGAGGAGAATCAGAAGGGAGAAACCAACTGAAAGCAGAAACTCTTCTTCTTCCTTCTCTGTGCGGCTTTAGTTTTTCCTTTTTTGGCTCGGTCCAGATGTGGAGCATCTGGAGGATTGACTGAAGGAGGTGTAGCTCTCTGCTCTCTGCCATCAGATCGCTGGTTGCTCGAGGGCTCCTCAGCAGCGCTGGAGGCTGAAGAGGAGTTTTCTGGTTCTTCGTTGGTGTCAAAGTGAGCTATCGCAGGCTTTCAAGACTTCTGCCGGTTTGCTCAGAGGACTCGTGGACCTGGACCTGGACCCTGAGGACCCAGCGGGGGGATCGATGTGACCATGGTGGGGCCATGCTGGGAGGGAGGTCCGCTCTGGCGAGTGTGTTTCTGTGTTTTGTGTGTCTCCTTGGCCCGACGCCACCGGCAGCCGGGATCTGCACCACGGACCTACCGAAGCAGGTCAAGTCCATGATCAAGATTGCCCCACGACTGGTACGAGTCTCCTTCCTCTCACCAAAGAGTAACATCTCATCTTAAAAACACACACAGGCAAATCTTCCCATCAGGTGATTTGTAGCAGAGTGGCGCATTAACAAAAACGTTTACATGCATGTAGACGGTGCAGTGGTGGTCTTTGCCGCCCAGCAGCCTTTGTGGCGTCTGGGTGGGTTCTCTCCGGGTACTCCGGCTTCCTCCCGCAGTCTAAAGACGCTCTGTGTTCATTGGTGAAGGTGTGCATGTGTCTGGGTGTGTGTGTGTCTCTGTGTCAGCTCTGTGATTGACTGGCAACCAATCCAGTGTTCCCCGTCTCCCGCCCCATCTTGCTGGGATTGATGCAGCGCCCTCGGTCCTGGGGAAGGATAAGCGGCTTCGAAGATAGATGGATGGACAGATGTGTGTGTGTGTGTGTGTGTGTGTGTGTGTGTGTGTGTGTGTGTGTGTGTGCGTGTGTGTGTGTGTGTGTGTGTGTGTGTGTGTGTGTGTATAAGACAAGGCAATTTTATTTGTATAGCGCTTCTCACACACAAGGCAGACTCAAAGTGCTTCACATTATAACATTTCATACAATAAAGTGAAATAAAATGCAGGAATTAAAAGACAATTAAAAACAGCAAATACAATTATAAATTAAAATGTTATTTAAATTGTTTAATTAAAGGCAGAGGTTAAAGTGCAATGTAGGTAAAACTTAGCAGAAGGCGAAGCTGAACATAAAGGTTTTCAGTCTTGTTTTAAACGTGTCAGAGTCGGGGCAAATGTTAATGTCTTAAATCTTCAGGAAGTTTATTCCAGCTGTTTGTTGCGTAGTAACTAAATGATGCTTTCCCATGATTTGTATGTTACTCTGGGTAGAAGAACAGAACTACTTAGAAGAATAACAATCTCTAACCTTTTATCTTCCTCAGAACCATTTGGGCAGCAGACTTTACACGCAGACCGCAACAGACTTCCAGGTATATTTGTACACAAACACAGCATTGAAGACAACTCATTAATAAAGACAATATTCATTATTTTAGACATTTGTAAAGATTCTCCAGATGTTGGCAACTATAAATGTATGTAATTTGCAACAAATCACAATTATATGACACTAATTCACGAGAGCAGATCAATTTGTTTATTAGTTATAGTTGTATTTTTATTTATTGATTCATGCTTTGTAGTATGTAAGCTTTATGAACTTTGACCTGATGCAGCATTTACATGAACGAAGAACTCAATATTAAACAACCATTAACCAGTCAGCTATTTAAGAATTCATTTCATTCAAAATATAAGCTTTTATGATATTTGTTTGCTTGAGGTTATTTCAAAATAAATTGGTTATTTAAACATACATGAGTTATTACAACACAAACAAGGTTATTACAACACACCTGAGGTTGTTATTAAATAGATCGGGTTATTACTACATAGATGAAGTTATTACAACACGCATGAGGTTATTTTAAAATAAATGGGTTGTTACAACATACATGACTTATTACAACATACATGTGTTATTACAGTATGAATGAGTTGCTATCAGCATGCATGAGGTTATTACAACATAGATGAGGTTATTACCTCATAGATGAGGTTATTACAACATGCATGAGGTTATTACAACATGCATGAGGTTATTACAAGATACATAATGTTATTACTACATAGATGAGGTTATTACAACATAGATGAGGTTATTGCTACATATATGAGGTTACTACAACATAAATGAGTTATTACAACAAGCATAAGGTTATTACAATATAAATTAGTTATTATAAGCATACATGGGGTTATTGCAACATACATGAGTTATTACAACACGCATGTGTTGAAATGTCGTACACGTTGTTGAGTTATCATGTAACTAATGTAAAGTCAGTTTATTTGTTCAGTGAGCTGGTGTTTGTTGAAGGCATCACTCTCACATGTCTCTGTCTCTCTCCCCCTTGTCCACACTTTAAATATGTATTATTATCCTATATTTTACTGCACATGTTTATTGTGGATCAATAAACTGTTTTGATTGGTCCCTCCAGCAGAATTGCATCGTCTCCACCCTCAAGTGTTTCTCTGCAGAGATGGATGTCCTTATAAATGAGTGGAAGCTTGCAAATGTGAAAATCCCACAGAAAAAGACATTGGTCAGCGGACTCAAAAGACTAGCAGACAGGTTCAGCCTGGCAAAGAATACGGTAGGAGATGTATAAATATTTAAATTGTATTTCTTTTTGTCATATTTTAAGAAATACGCTGACTGCACATTTAATAAGATGTTACCGGACAACTTATGTGACCGATGAGATTCATTAACTTGTGTTCTGACATAACATGGCATAATAGGAGCACACCAAGAGGAAAAAGGGAAGGGCCTCCACCAGAGGGTCGAACCTGTGGGACGCCACAGAAAAACAAACTGAAATCTCTGTGAATGATTAGAAAATATGAGGCAACTTCTCTAAACTGTTTTTGGCAGCTCCAAGCAAACAAAAGGAAGAAGTTGTGGGGGCAGTTTTTATTTGGCATTTGGTGCTTTACAGAGGATGAAATAAACTGGAAAATCTTCCTCTTCTTTTTTTCTGGAAAAAAGAGGAATATGTTGACTGTTGTCCAAATGGACATAAATCAGAGTACTGCGTAGATTTGAAGTAAACACGCTAGTTACGTTATTGAGAGACGTTTTATAGAGAAAACGTGTTTCTCAATCTGCAATGCAAAATGTCTCATACAGTATATCCATTTATTAGCAATAAATAACATGAAAATAGCAAATGACGCCATCTGATTGAACGGGCAACCTCCAGTGGCCGCAGCAGTTACATTCTGGTCCATAAATATTTGGACATTGACACATTTTTCATTATCTTGACTCCACAACAATGGAGTTGAAATGAGAATGAGGTGAACGGTGTAAGAATTACTTCAAATTCAAATGTGGCCACTCTCTTTTTAAGGGACCAAAAGTAATTTCACATTTGGCTGCTCAGCTGTTCCAGGGTCCGTCCATCGCCGTCGTCCGGTGTGTGTAAATTTCCTCGTTATTGCGTTTGCAAAGAGTAGATAAAGGGTCTGGAGTTCATTTCAGGTGTGGCATTTGTGTTTGGACTCTGTTGCGATAAAGTCCAAAGAGCCGTCACTATCAGTGGAGCAAACCATCGTTAGGCTGAACAATCGAAACAAAACCATCAGAGAGACGCAAACACATCAGGTGTGGCCAAATCAACTGTTTGGGACATTCTTAAGAAGAAAGAAGGCACGGAAGACCACGGAGGAATCATTTCCCTGGTGAAGAACAACTCCTTCACAACAGTTGGCCAGATGAAGAACGCTCTCCGGGAGGTAGGAGGTGTATCTGTGTCAAAGTCGACAGTCGAGAGAAGACTTCACCAGAGTAAATACAGAGACTTCACCACAAGATGGAAACCGTTGGTGAACCTCAAAAACAGGAAGACCAGATTGGAGTTTACCAAAAAACATCTAAAAGAGCCCGTACGGTTCTGGAAGAACATCCTATGGACAGATGAGACAAAGATAAACCAGAATGATGGGAAGAGAAGAGTATGGAGAAGTAAAGGAACTGCTCATGATCCAAAGCACACCACCTCATCAGTGAAGCACGGTGGAGGTACTGTTGTGGCGGCCAATGGAACTGGTTCCCTTGTGTTTATTGATGATGTGACTGCTGACAAAAGCAGCAGGAGGAATTCGGAAGTGTTTTTCGGGCAATATTATCTGCTCAAATTCAGCCAAATGCTTCAGAACTCACTGGACGGCGCTTCACAGTGCAGATGGACAATGACCCGAAGCGTACTGCGAAAGCAACCAAGGCAAAGAAGTGGGATGTTCTGCAAGTCAATCAGCTGACCTGAATCCGATTGATTGATCCATGCATTTCACTTGCTTCACCAGGGACAAAACCCAGCGTCTGGTGATGTCTATGGAATCCAGACTTCAGGATGTCATTAAAAGTGACAATTACATTTATGATTATATTCATTTGTCCACTTACTTTTGGTCCTTTAAAAACAGGTTGGCCACATTTGTTGTAGTTCCTACACTGTTCACCTGATTTGGTGCACTCAGAATTTATTTTATTTTGAATCTGTGTCCAGCTTGGATGTTAAAAAAGCAGCTGGTCCTGATCAATTGGACCCCATCTTCTTGAAGTTGGCTGCAAATCATATAGCTGATCCCTTGACTCACGTTTTCAATCTCAGTCTCAGCACTAATATACTTCCAAAACATTGGAAATCCGCTTTTGTCCTTCCCCTGTTAAAAGGGGGTGACCCATCTGATGTAAATAACTACAGGCCTATTTCAAAGTTAAGCATTGTTGCAAAAATATTGTAAAAAATAATTAGCGAACAATTGAAAGATTTCTTAGATACTAATAGTATCCTAAATAATTTCCATTTTGGCTTTAGGAAGCAACACAGTACAGTCACCGCCGCCCTGAACGTTTTAAATGATATATTTGAAGCAATTGATCTTAAAAAGGTATATGTTGCCCTTTTTATCGATTTCTCTAAAGCTTTTGACACGGTTGATCATAAGATATTGATCAGTATCTTGAAAAAAATCGGCATCCACCTGGTTTGCTGATGTGTGTCCAAAAGGACTCAGTCAGTCCAGTTAGCCAACGCCACATCATCCTCACTTGAGATCACTAAAGGTGTGCCTCAGGGCTCGGTCCTAGGACCTATTTTATTTTCTATTTATATAAATGATCTTTGTGTAAATGTGTCAAATGCTGCCTGTCATTTTTATGCTGACGACACTGTTATTTATTGTTGTGCGTCCACGGTTGTGCTTGCATTTGAGTTGTTACAATCTGCTTTTAACGCCGTACAGGACCGCCTTCAAAACCTCAAATTGGTTTTAAATGCCAACAAATCAAAAATGATGGTGTTTTCAAAAGCTCCTTACTCAAATGAAAATGTATCTTCGGTAAAAACTGCCCAAGGTAACCCAATCGAGATTGTCACCAATTATAAATACTTAGGTGGCTTCTTTTACAGAAATTGCTTGTGTTTCTCTTTGAGGGCGCGTAAACTGCTTGTCTTTTTTTTACCGTTAGTTGACTACGGAGATCAGGAATCAGGAATCAGGAAACATTTATTAGCCAAAATATGTCAAACATACAAGGAATTTGTCTTGGCGGTTAGTGCGCGACAGTAGACAGACAAGACAACAGTGCACAAGTAATAAAATAAAGTGGAATGAAATGCTAATGCAATGGGTTAGTAGAATAAGGCTGTGGGTTAGTATAAAACAAGGGAATAAAGTTAAACAAATTTTAAATATTAAAAAGTTAAAAAGAAAAATATTAAGCATAAAGTGCACTAACGAACAAGTAACAGACAAGAGACAAAGTGACAAGTGATGAATTGCAGTTAAAGTGGCATGTGCAGTGTGAACGGGAGTGACCGGTGGAGTGTTATAGTCAGGCAGTGGGGGACCGGCTCTGTTGATGAGCCCGACGGGAAGAAACTGTTGGTGTGGCGGGAGGTCGTAGTCCTGATGGACCTCAGCCTCCTGCCAGATGGAACGAACACAAACAGTTTTTGTCCGGGGTGGGAGGGGTCGGCCGCGATCTTTTTAGCTCGCTTCAGAGACCTGGAAGCGAACAAGATGTGCTGTGCATATGTGCTTCGTCCAAAAGCCTAGCAGCTCTGGACACTGTATATGTTCACCCACACATCACTGTCAGCTGGGTGGCCATCTCTGGGCACCCTGAGAGAAACTCACTGGTTGTCCTTGATCTATAAGGCTCTCCTCGTTATGGTCCCGTCTCATCTATGTTCACTCCTCCGTGGAGCAGAAAACCGGTACGCTTTGAGGTCCAGCGACATTCACTGCTTGTACATTCCACGAGTGCCGACTGAATCGGGGGAAAAAGCGTTCAGTTTTGCCGCCCCATTAACATGGAAAATCTCCAAGCTGAACAGAAATTGCCTCAACTTGTATGTTTTAATGTTTTCCGACGTCTCCAAATGGACAGACAACAAAAATCTATTGAACATTTTTTCTTTGTATTTCAGTTTTTAACTTAATTTGTATTGAGGTTTTTTCTCATGTCATGTATATGTATTTTATGGCTGCTGCCTTCTTGGCCAGGTCGCCCCTGAAAATGAGATCTCAATCTCAATGGGACTTTTACCTGGTTAAATAAAGGTTAAATAAAAATAAAATACATTTGGATGTAAATACCCTCGAATTATTTTTTCATTTCAACTCCACTGTTGTGGTATACAGAGTCAAAATAATGAACAAAGTGTCAATGTCCAAATATTTATGGACCTGACTGAATGCGGAGCAAGTCTGGTGACGTAGTAAAACCCCCTGAATGGTGAACACAGGACTTTCCTCCAGGAGGCCGCTGTCTGTGTCAAATATTACCATCAAAAACAACCGTCTCCTTCTAAACGTGACCAAGACACTTTGTTTACATGAGAGCAGTTTTTTCACTGAGGTGTTGACGGGAATCTCTGCGTGTTTATGAGAACCAGATGTTGGGAGAGAACGGAGGCCTGATATGGGGAGGCTGACCCGAGAGTATTCAACTGAGAACTACACAAAGTAAAACGTCCTCATTCCTGCTGCAGCAAAAGCTCTTTAACTTTGGACCACCGTCCCCACATTGATGCCACGACAAGCAAAAGCAGCTACAGCCAACTTGGCTTAGAGACTGGGAGCCAGAGAACGGGTTTTGCCACCAGTTGAGAAGCACTGCTTTAGGCCGTCCTTTTGTCATCTGTTTACCGTTAATACCTGTTGATGGGTGACGATGATACATGTTCATATGGTTTGTTGTTCCACAGACCACGTCAGAGTGCCGTCAGTGTGAACGGCTCCAGCAGAAAGACGCAGAAGAGTTCCTCAGAGAGCTTGAAGGGACTCTTGAGAAGATCAACAGCGCCCCATGTCCCCCAGAGGACAGCAGCTGAAGCCTCCTGACCTTTGACCTCCGGAGTCTGTGGAGTTGATTGACTCCTTTGAGTCCTCCCCTCAGCCACACTTTTACTTTTGGCCTCTAAGCCACTAAATGCAAAGATGAGTTATTGATAACCGATGCCAGCGGTGACGTTTCCGTCCTTTTTGCCGTTCGATTTTTTGACACAATCTTAACATAAATGAAAGAATATTAGCGATATCTGACATTTACTTTAAATCATATGTCAAATGTCTGAAAGCTAAATCTACCCAGAGCTGAGATCTTATGTTTTTTACGTGGGGAAATACATTAAAAGGTGTCAAATATGTGTAAAGGTTTCCTGCTCACGTTCCTTTGTTCAGGGGTGTCTTCTGAGGACAACACCAACCTCAACGATGTGGGTTAAAGCTCCTCTCGCACCAAGAAGCTCGGTCAGATCTTCATTTGTCCCTTTTCAGTTGAATTGAGTCACTGGACGTCTGTCTGTACTGATGGCTTGTGTATTTTTAATTATCCTCCGATATGTTAGTTAGTAATAAATACTTAAGCACAAACGAGTTTAAGATAGTTTTGATTCCTCACAAGGACATAATCTACAAATTTCCACCACAAAACACACAAATGGAATACCTTAAAGACAGTCAAAGTTACATAAATTAATATTACTTCAATTATCAGTGTCATACATTTGGGACTTAAGTAACATCTGCAGGCAGCAGTTTGTGTTATTAATTGATCTCATTTTATTCCAGTTACTATGTTACTATTTTAGCTCCTAAAATGTCAGAGATTAAGGAAAACTAGACAGCAACGTCTTCAAATGAGTCATTTCATGCTAAATACTCTTTGTGCTACAAACAAAGAAACCGACTTCATCAATGAACAATGAATAAGACTCATTTCCTGACCGATCTTAAACAATCCCAAAAAATCCAGCGGCTATGAAAGAACTGATTAATAACAGCAAACTGTTCCGGCATCAGTGTTTTAAATTCACGCGCGCGCGCGGTGCTTGCGTCAGCGGCGGCTCTGCGCGTGCTCAGTGGGCCTCGCGGGCTCACGCTTCCCCGCTCGGGGGGGGCGCGCGCGCCTCCGGCGATCCATCGTCAGCTCTCGGGCTTGTCCTTGTTGGGGCCCATGAAGTCCACCCCGTCGATCGGGATGTCCTTCTCCTGGATGGCCTTCTGCACGCACCGCTGGTACTTCCGGAAGGTCTCGCCGCACGGGTCGCCGCTCCGGTCGCCCTTCAGGAACTTCTCCGCGAACCAGCGGTTGAAGCATTGGTCGTAGTCCCGCTTGAGGTCGGTGCAGGCCTCCCCGACGCTGTTCATCGTCGGCGGCTCGAGTCCCGCGGCCGGCGGGAGGGAAGCGTATCTGGACGGGGAAGAAGACAGCCGCGGAAGGGGCGAGCGGCGCTGCGTGACGCTCCTTGAGCGGAGGGGCGTGATTGGCTGGGCTGGAACGGAATGACGTCACGACGTAACAGAGATGTTAAGCTGTGTAGGAGGAGTCACTTTTTGGACTTCATCGTTTTTGTTTGCTGCTAAAACAAGAAAGACTGTAAACATGCAATATTTGCAATGTTGGAAAATAAAGTACATTTATCGTTGGACTCTACTTCAGATATCTCTCCCTTTACTGCTTGTGTTTACTTTCACTCTAGGAAATATGACGTTCTACCTGACTCTTTAAAAACGTTCAGTTAACAAATTAAATTATACTTAAGATTACACTTTATTGATCCCGGGGAGATTCCCAAACCATGCAGGAAATATTTCAAATTAGCGCCTCTTTACAAGCGCAGATTAATATATACAATAATTAGACACCTTCTGTACAAGTATGCTTGTAGTATCATAAATATATTTTGATGATTATACTCTGTAATGTACTTGGAGTACTTTTATTTGTTAGAGTATTGTCAACACTCCGTGGGTTTTTAGGTCGTGTATCCTTTACTGATCTTTAATTCTCTAAAATGCTGTCAGAGTGAGACATCTTTCTCTTTTGATCCAAAGACATCCCCCAAAACCCGCGAGAGATCGCGCAGCTTACGGAAATCTCGCGGTTCTCCAAGAAGCCGCGAGGAGCAGCGGACTTATCGAAATAAGCCGGTATTTACTTTTGTTGGGCAACTAAGAAAAAATAAATCAGAACCGGGATCTAAAACGGGTAAGTCGTATCCGTGGAGCTCCTCGGCTGATATTTGATCCTCAATGTGTTAGAGATTCAAAGCATGCTAACTACATTAGCATGCTTTGCTAGGCCCCTCTGATTGTTGTGACTGGATGCTCCCGGGCTGCTAGCTTACCCGTTAGCCGCTCGGCCATGTTTGCGTTTCGTTTAATTCAAACTTTTATGTTGTTTATTCACGCCGCTAGCTGTCCACCTCGTAGCTCCACGATGTCTGACAGCGAGGACAGTGACTTCTCCGACAACCAGAGCGGGGGCAGCAGCGACGGAGAGGCCGAGGAGGTGAATGAGGTATGCTAACCGCTAAGCTAAGTGATGCTACCAGAACGAAGAGGTCTCTGGGGGTTAACGTTGTGATTTAATGTGGCACAAAGTGGAACAAGCTGCCAAAAGATGACCTCCAGGGCGGGAGGACATGCTGCACGTAGATATCACACAGTGTACTTCAGCTCGTTTAGGTGAAGTACACATTTATAGTACTTTTACTTTTACTCCACCTTATGTATCTGACAGGTTAAATATGCGGTTATCGACACAAAAGGAACTTTGAACCCTTTTGGTGGAGGAAGTCGTTTCAACTAAAACATCTGCTGTTTCCCAGAGTTCCTGTAATTGATATTGTGGAGGTTTGGGATGAGAGAACACGGTGAAGGTGTCGCTTCTTCATGTTTTCTCTAATTCTTTGTTTTATGAACCAGTGATTCAGGAAAAATCCACAATGAAAAGAGTCAAAAGTTCAAAATGAGCTAGAAAACCCTACTTATTGACAGTATGGACAAAATATATGATAGTTATAAAAATACAACTGTCGGTTTTACTGATTCTTCCTTCTGGCCGATCTACTCACAACTGCAACGTTCTTTGGACGATTGTTTGGTTAGTTCATGTAATTCTGCACTATTGTGTTTTTTGTGTACATTGTGCATTTTTACATCTCAAAATGTTATTCTGTGATATTTAAGTGCTGCTGTAGCAAAACAAGTAACCCTTGCAGTATTTTTAAAGTAACTATTCTTCATATTCACTGACTTTTGGTATCGGTGCTTTTGGATTAAAATGCTTTCCTCCTCCTCTGGCCCTTCTGCCTGGTGCCCCCCCACCAGGAGGAGACGGGGAGCCCCGTGGGCAGCGACAAGGTAGCAGAGGAGGAGGGGGAGGACCTGGAGGATGAGGAGGAGTACGACGAGGAGGAGGACGAGGACGATGACGACCGTCCCAGGAAGAAGCCGAGACACGGGGGGTTCATCCTAGACGAAGCCGGTACGAGTCCACCACCATGTCGCCTTTCCCCCCTAAAAAAACAAACTGAACTGATCAACTTTGTTTGTTTTACCTCGACTGTTTTAAATGGTTTCTGTGTTCTCTGTCTAGATGTGGACGACGAGTACGAGGATGAGGAAGATCAGTGGGAGGAAGGTGCTGAAGACATTCTGGAGAAAGGTGAGGAACAAGAGAGCTTTTTTTTAACGGTTTATTGTTCAGCTGTTAATTGTCCTTTCTCCACTTTGCTGAGACAGTCCTAAAATAAGTTTAACTGTCTTCTCTCACTTGAACAATCCCTGTTAGTTTATAGTCAGACGTTTAGATGTCTTTTCTCTCCGTGATGTGGTTTGTTCTCAAAGGCTCTTGGAGCCCTTTCACACCTCGTTTTTCTCTATATATCTATTTCTACATATTTGAATATGTGTGTGTTTAATATGGTCTCAAGTTCACAACAAGCCAACAAATTGATTGATGTCAAGTATCATAAACGGAGGAGACGGAGACAGGGTGGCGACAACATAATAGGCGTTGACGACAGCACGGCGAGGGGACAGTGACGGCGCGTAGGACGCGTTGACTAGACGTAAAAGACGAATACAGGAAGTAGACGCCAGGACGATGAAATGTCGTAGAACAGGCAACGCGTGATGAAGGCCATGAGGACGGGACCTCGCTGACTGACAGGGCGTAGATGATGAGAAGGGGACGTAGCTATTGAAGACGGGACGGGGGTATGTCCTGCAGGGGTCTTCATTGTGCCTGACTGAGACCAGAAAATGTAAACGCTGTGTCTGACCCGGCCGGAGAAGCCTCCTCTATAACTGCTCGGGTTGAGGGTTTGAATCCGCCTCTTTAACGCTCTCTCTCTCTGTCTCACCGGTGCTCCTCTCTCGCCCCGCATGTCCTCTCCAGTTAACGGTAATGCTTCTCCAGATACTCTCCTTGTTTTAACATCGATTTGTATCTGCAGCAGATGGAATAATCGGTATCAACCATCTGATAAAGTGTTAACCCCCCCACCCCCCCCCCTCCCCCCGCATCAAGGCACAGCTGTATGTGTGAGCACCACGCCAGGAAGCACCGAGGGTGAACTCCTACCCAAGTTAATTCAATTCAAATGACTATAAAGATGTCAGCTCACGTTTTATTAGCTGATGAAACCAGATGTGAGGAACTGAATCCATCTGGCTTGTATGTATGTAATGTGCCCAACGCTGCTACCTGGTCGAGACATGGCTGCCACGGTAACGCAGCAGAAACAAAACACCGGCCGGTGTGCGCTGCGTTCAAAGACCCCTAACGGAACCAGTCATTTGTCCCTGTTGGTTTAACACTACCGGGGATGCCGGCTCTGTTTCTGGTCTAAGGACTGACGTGTAGATGAGTAAACTTGCGTATTTCTAACCTGAGACGTTGGTGTTTTGTTTCTGCCGTAGTCTGACCTTTGACCCTTCACTGGGCACGTGTTGTTTCTGTGCCGTACAGTCACCATTAATCTGTTTCTTTTTGTCTCCCATCATGCTTTGTGTTCTGCACTGATGATGAATGTCTTTCTGGCTTCCCTCCTCTTCATCCTCCTCCTCTTCCTCTCTTGGCTGCTGCTTCACCTGTAACTCGTCTGGGTTTTCTTCTTGTCCTGTTTTGTTTTTGGTCGTTCTACATCCTCCTCCTCTCACTACCTCCCTGCTCCTCGCCCTTCTTCATCCCCCCCTCCCCCCGTTGTTACCTTCTCCTTGCATTGCTCCTTCTTTATTCCCCTGATCTTTACCTCTGCTCCTCCTCTTACCTCCTCTTCCTCCCTCACCGGTCGGTCCAAAGCAGAAGAGGCTGAAGGTAATTCACATTTTCCTCTACATTCAGTCCGTATTCTCCCCTGTGATGGTGAACTTTAACCCCGTGGTCTCCCCCTCTCAGTGTCAAACATTGACCATGTGGTCATGGATGAAGACAACTCGGGATCCAGAAGGCTGCAGAACCTGTGGAGGTACTGCAGCCTTTTCTCTTGACCTTAAATCTTTAATCATGAGAAGATGTCTTTGTGTGGCCCGACAGAAACATGGATGTAAACGGCATCAGACACATAAACTTTGTATTATATTATGAAAGAGGAAACGATCAATTATTGGCATCGCTAGGATTTTTTCATACGATTACTCTCATTGATAGTTGATTAATTATTGCCTAAATGGTTCTCAATGTCTTACCGGAACCTGGTTAATAAATGTAAATGTGTGTGTGTTTTACAGAGACTCCAGAGAGGAGGCACTGGGGGAATATTACATGAGGAAATACGCCAAATCCTCCGGAGGGGAGCAGTGAGTATCTTTTGTTCTTTCACCTTTCCCGAGATTTAAGCTGTACATTTACAAATAAAAAACTACAATGTTGAGATTAAAGCCCTTAAGTTATACCAAAGTCAAATATCCTCATAAAAAACCTTTACAAGAATCTATGTGCATTTAGTGTAATGCACTTGGTATTCAAACATAATTTACACTTAGTTTTGTTAAGTAATTATAAACAAGGAAACTTCCTGCAGATGTTTCTCAATAAAAGCCTCCATAAACTCTGCCTTCCCTCCATGCTTTTATTGTGAAATATCTGCAACAAATGTTGAGTGTAATCTGTTTGCTAATCTGTGATGAAAAAAAATAATTAGTGAGGGAAAACCAGCTCTGTTGAATACAGAAAGTGTGTTTTATTACAAAGCATCAACCTTCGTTAACCTCCTGTTCTTCTTCTGTGGTGTGCAGTTACTCCGGAGGATCCGAGGAGCTCTCTGATGACATCACCCAGCAGCAGCTCCTTCCCGGCGTCAAGTATGTTTGAACACTCGACCACCAACCAGCATCCAGAACCCCGTGACGTCACCCATTTTTTAACGTTTCCCTGTTTTTGTCATCAGGGATCCCAACCTGTGGACAGTCAAGTGCAAGGTGCGTTTCCTCTGAGAGACACACACACACACACACACACTTCCTCATCATATCCTCATCATATCCTGTCCCGTTAGATCGGAGAGGAGAGGGCGACGGCCATC